TTGGCTAAAGCTCCCGCCTTCACACACGGAGAGTCCCGGGTTCGATTCCCGGCGGTGGAAACATTTCGAACCACTTTCCCTTACACCTGTTGTCCTGTTCACCTATCAGCAAATTGGTACCCCCCGGGTGTTCAGCACTGGTGTGGGTTCGCATCCTGGGGGACAAGATTAAGACCCCAATGGGAAATAATGTTAGACAGTCCCTTGATGACGCACTGACTTTCTTGGGTTTTATCCTGGTGGATAACCCCTTCCCGGGTTAAAAATCCGAACGAAATCTTATCTTATCTTATCACGAGAGGTGTTTGTGTTGTTGTTGGTAATAAGGGCCCCCCACTGAGTGGTAAGCCGTCCATAATGGTGGTGAGCGGCGGTGGTTTTTGTAGCCCACAAATTTATAACTCCAACAAATTGGAGGAGTTGAATTAAAATGTATAAAATAACCGACAGGTTGTTAGTAAGACCATATGCAACATTAGGTATCTTTATTTTCGAAACGTTTCGCCTAAACAGTAGGCTTCTACAGTCGAGAAAGAAAAGTTATAGACGCAGAAGAGACTTGAAGACGATGTAAATCAAGTCCATCACCCTTAAAGTTTTGAGTGGACAGTCCTCATCTGAGCGCCGCAAGAAGAGCATTGTTTCTATAGTATGTGAAACAAAGATTTGTTTCATACTATGGAACAATGCTCTTCTCAGACTGAGGGACTGACCACCTCAAACTTTAAGGTGATGGCTGGATTATACTTCGTCTTCAAGTCTCTTTGCTTCTATCAATCTTTTCTGTACTCGAGCTGAAGAAGCCTACTGTGTAGGCGAAACGTTTCGAAATATAAATACCTAACTGTTGCAATATGTTTCTTACCTAACCACATTGGAGGAGTTGGTAGAATTGCTGAATCACTAAAGAAGGAACCCTCTACCACCATCACTACGACCTTCTACCACAATTACACTGTTACCACCATCGACTACTACTTCTACCACCATCCCTAACGACCTTTCTTACACTATTACAACCTGTTACCTTACCATCACTACTACCTTCTACCACCATCACTACTGCTTTCTACCACCATCACTACCACCAAAGAAAGCTTCTAGTGCCCAGCCCTTTGGTAAAGAATGTGAGAAACACATAATTTAATGAAAAAGTTTGGTAGAAAAATACAAAGATTGTGGTGTAGAGGTGAACAGTTGTGATAGTGGTTATGAACATAAGAAAGGAAGGATCACTGCAGCAGGCCTGTTGGCCCAGGCTCGGCAGGTCCCTTTTACAATTCCATACCCACAAAACGAAACATTTTCCCAACCCCAGTCCTCAATGTTACCCAAGAAATAAGCTCTGATAACTCTATCCCCCACTCATTGGGGACTTGCAAATGAGTGGATAGAGTATATCAGAGCTTATTCTTGGGTTAGCAATTGAGGACTTGGTTGGGAAAATGTTTCCGTTAGTGGGATGTAATGTAAAGGACCTGCCGAGCATGGGCCAACAGGCCTGCTACATTGATCCTCTTTCTTATGTTTTCATCAACACTATCACAACTGTTCCAACTCTACCACCACCATCTTTGTATTTTTCTACAAACTCTTTTCATAAATTAATGTGTTTCTCACATTCTTTACAAAGGGCTGGCACTAGAAGCTTTATTGGAGCCATGGTAGCTCATTAGCACTAAAATTCAATGGAATATATTATAAATATTTCGTAGGAGCATGTGAGGGGACGTCATCACTGTAAACAATGGCACACTGGCTGGGAAGGAAAGGCCGAGGCGGCTCAGAGCGTGAGTAGCGTCCAGACGAAGGACTATAGGACTATTAGCGAAGTTACCGACCATTTGCAAGCCAATATTTTAGACGAAAAAACAGGACTATTTCCGAAATGGACGACTTTCCAGGCCGATGATATTGAGGGACCACTGAATTTCTTATGGGGGAAATTGATTCGAAATCGTCCATTTCGATAATAGTCCCAATCCAGGAACGGATTATGGACGATATTGAGGACCACTGTAATTGTTATACCAGAATAAACTTACTTTATTCCGACTTCTCCTTCTACGGTGTGGCAATTTTCGAATCGCCAGCCCGTCCCACGCGTCGAACCCAACTCCGGTCCCACTCCTAAACCGCCCAGACAGTTCCTGAATTTTGCTTCCCTCTCAGAAAAAAACAGGCACGTCATGCACTCTGTTTCCACACTCGGTTTCAGAATCACAGTGGACAAATTCCTTTAACGACTGACTTCCTCTACTGCTATCCCTCCAACCATAGTACTGGCTAGGTGGCTCCTACCCATGTTGGTAGAGATATATCTTTTCAAACGCTTTCAGAGTGATACAAGCATCATCACTGTCCAGAATGCTAACCAGCTCATGACCTTTCTCTTTCTTTCAAATATCGATCCTATTACATGTCACTATTGAAAAACACATTCCCTCAATTCCTCAGTGAACTGTCACTCTGCCCATACCACTGTCCAACAGAATTTCCAGACATATGGCAATGACATTCCAAACAGCTGGAACTCCAAGACCTCCAATCCTCAAAGTAAACACTTATGTCCCTGGCCCGCGGCGGAGACGATACCCTTGCAAATGTACCGATAACGTTTGACTTGCCGTGAACTCCCATCCGCTGTTTATATAGCAGGACATCATTTACAAGTTCGAAAGGTATCCCTACACGCAACAGTGTAGAAATTGCTGGCGTTTTGATCACCCAGCGAAATATATTGCAAGATCTCTAGCCGAATGATGCCCCAAACTGTGGTGCCGATGACACATTCCAATACGTATGTATCTACCTCCTCTTGCCTTGTCGATGAGGCTCCCCTTCGCCCGCACCGTCCTTATTCTCGCCGTATGCCAAGTTTGCTCAAATGAGCGAGAAAATCTTGTTGCCTCCAAGAGGCAGTTTCCTCCCCTATGCTATGGCAGTTTCTCATCTACGTCTCCAGGAGACAACCCCCGTATTTTTCTTGTTCTCATGTTTCTAATTGTCCCCCCCACCTCTGGGGGTCCCCATCTTCTGCAGCCTCGTCTGTGGTTACCCCTCCATAGTCAGTCCTGTCTGCTAATTCTTTTGTTGCTGTCCTTAGACGTCAAAATCCCTACTTCAACACCTCAGTCTGTTCTCACTTCAGTTCTCCCTCCACAAGTTCCGGTATGGACAAGATCCATACACCTCCTCCTTATCACCACCCTCTACATCTCAGAAGTCCAAAAAATCCCCATTGCTCCAAAAAATCTCCTTTAACCCTTCCTTCCCTTCTTTCTACCACATTTTACTTTTTCCAGACCTGTGCCTGGTTCTTCACCTGTTTACAAGTGTGGAGGTTCAGCCCTCCCTCGGTACTGTACCTTTCCTCCCCCTGTCCCCTCCCAATTCTTCCCTCTTCTTGACTCAAGTCCAGCTAACCAGTTTCCTGAATCCAACATCTAGTCAAGTCCCAAAAACCATATGCCTCCACTTATTCCTCACAAATACTTACTGGATATCCAAGCCCCTCACACACAAAACTTCCTTTACCCCCTCCAACCATTTCTAGGGTGACCCCCTACCCCCACCTTCTCTCCGCAGATTTATAAATCCTCCAACCTCTCAATGTTCAAACCACCTCAACAACCCCTCCTCAGTCCTCTGGATAAGACTTAGTAACCCAGCACCTTCTAATCTCCAAGCTATAAATTCTCTGCATAATATTTACACCACACACTGCCCTCAGACATGATATCCCCACTGCCTCCAGCCTCCTCCTCACTGATATTCACAAATGAGACATCTGACAAATAGTAATAGAGATAATTCATACAAGTCATGTATATCAAAATTTTAAGCATTGCAAGACCACAGAAAAATGATAGTAAAATAATTAAATCTGTAACAAATTAAGTTATTAAGTTGTTTTGCTGGAATAAAGCTTAATGACTTAAGATATAGACTTAAAAAATGGTTCATTAGTTAAAAACTGCATTAAGCACATTGCAACTTCCCAAATAAGCCAATGTTATAACTTGAGATGGGGACAGGAACAATAATATTAGTTTATAGTTAATATTTTCTCGTCAGTAATAAAATTACCAAAATACGTTCTCAATAAAGATGGGTTTACCAACAGAGGAATACTGGCATTGTAGCCACATTTTGAGTGCACAAACCAAAAAAATATGAGAAACTATAGAAATATCAAGAAAAGTATCACACTGAGTTTTTATTTTCATTGGATTGAAGGGTTGTAATGGCTCCTAAGCTGCCTGTTGTTGATTTAAAGGGTTATGACGACCTAAGGGCTCTCTTCAACCCAATACTAGTTGATGGCCTAGTGGCTATCACATAACTCAACAGTCAAAAAAACAGAATGTGATACCTCTCTTAATATTTTGATAATCTTTCATAAATAACAAAAAGGCACAATACCATAACTAGAACAATACACAAATAACCTGCACAAAGGAGAGAGGAGCTTACAACATTTCGGTCCAACTTGGACCATTTACAAAGTCACACTGAAACGTCATGGTAACCTCCTCTCTCCTGTGTGTGGGTTATTTGTGTATAATCTTTCATATTCCTTTTGTATTGTACACTTGTAAAACAGAGGGTATAATACTAAACAATGGACCCATCTCTAGTGAGGGGAGGAATGTAGAAGGTGCAGTAGTGACATGACATTTCTCACAGACAGCCAGAACCAACCAACCTCTCTCTCTCCCCCCGAGGATGATAAACGATTCACATTCATAAGCACTATATGCATTTTCCTTGTATCATATGGTGCAAAGGATGTGAAAACACTGTGATCACTTACTACCTATGCAGGAAGCAGCAGATTTAATCCCATCTGTAGATCCATAAAGCAATGAGTGCTATATTTACGAGCATTATCTGGTTGTTGCATGAGTGAAGCATGGTCAGTAAGCAGGGAAATAGTCAAGGATTTTTGTTTTTTTTCCAAAATTATATGGGTCTACTGTACAATTAAGATTACTTACCTTTCTCAAATTTATATTTTCTCCTTCAATAGCTTCGTTAAGTCTGTCAACTGTAGGTGGAAGAATAATAGTTTCTCTAAAGGGCACAATTGGGTCGGAAGTGCGCACAGGAACACGTGCATATCGTTCTTGAAGATCATCTATACAGCGTTGTAGGTGCACTTCACCAGCAGTAAGGATAACATATTCACCATTATTTTGTAGTGCAATCTAAAATTCATTAAAAAACCTGTTTAAAATTACTTGAATTTTGCAGTATAAAATGATTAATTAAATTTTAAAAATTATGCAACAAATAACGTAAAATTCAATAGAATCAAACTGTGTTATGTTCATTAATCACTTATTTGTGGACAGCTAAAATTCTCATTGTTGAATGGGCAATGTGTGCATGTGGGCTTCTGATAACTGGGCAAAATGTACATGTACAGGTGCTCCTTGACTTGAAATGGGGTTACGTACTAATGAACCCAGCCTAAGTCAAAAATATCGTAAGCAGAATATGAACATGACATGATAAACAAACAAGTAAATATAGTAGACCAGGTGAAATTGCTGACCTAGAAAATGTACAGAGAACCTTCACCCCGCACATAACGGAGATAAAACACCTCAATTACTGGGAGCGCTTGATGTTCCTGAACCTGTACTCCCTGAAATGCAGGCGGGAGAGATACATGATTATATACACCTGGAAAATCCTAGAGGGACTAGTACCGAATTTGCACACGAAAATCACTCACAACGAAAGCAAGACTCCGCAGACGATGCAACATCCCCCCCTATGAAAAGCAGGGGTGTCACTAGCACGTTAAGAGACAATACAATAAGTGTCAGGGGCCCGAGACTGTTCAACTGCCTCCCAGCATACATAAGGGGGATTACCAATAGACCCCTGGCTGTCTTCAAGCAGGCACTGGACAAGCACCTAAAGTCGGTACCTGACCAGCCAGGCTGTGGCTCGTACGCTGGATTGCGTGCAGCCAGCAGTAACAGCCTGGTTGATCAGGCTTTGATCCACCAGGAGGCCTGGTCACAGACCAGGCCGCAGGGGCGTTGACCCCTGGAACTCTCTCTAGGCCTTTGGTCTCTTTCTACCCTGCAATACTTTATACAGCTGATAGCAAAGCATCATGAGCAGTGCTAGACCCCAGAAGAACATGTTTACTGTAGTTGTCATTGCTTGTTAATTTGGAAATGTGTGCAGAGGGTTGATGTGACCCTGTACAATGTGTGTACAAACATGACATGTTATGACATGCTATCAGCTAGCACTTGCAAATATCAGTAAAAAATACCATATTTTACTTGCTAAGACAAAATTTTTACTAAATAAATGTGTCCAGAGTAATACCCACCATAATATAAATGCAAGCTATCTAACTAAACAAAAAAAAATTAAATGATTATGAGAAAAGCTTCTCAAGGCTCTCAGCATGTGTTACTGTTATTGTTGGGTTGAGGGTTGGGACGACCCGAGGGTTGGGACGACCCGAGGGTTGGGACGACCCAAGGGTTGTTGTGTCCATCTCCCTGTTGTGATATTAACTACCAGAATGCTTTTGCAAATACAGGTCGGCCATCACTAATCCAGTAATCAGTAATCCGGCACTAATTTCGGCTAGCATAATTTCCAATTTCCAGGGTCGTAACACCATCCTGCTGCTACTGTTTGGTTTACCTGGAGAGAGTTCCGGGGGTCAACGCCCCCGCGGCCCGGTCTGTGACCAGGCCTCCTTAGGTCGGTGTCCCAGGATGCGACCCACACCAGTCGACTAACACCCAGGTACCCATTTTACTGATGGGGAACATAGACAACAGGTGGAAAGAAACACGTCCAATGTTTCTACTCTGGCTGGGAATCGAACCCAGGCCCTCGCCGTGTGAAGCGAGTGTGTTAACCACCAGGCCACCACTTGTTGCATAAGTCATTCCAATTTCTTTTTCTCCATTTATTATTATAACCTATTAACTTTTAGCCCTAGCCATGGTTCCAACAAATAAAAGAAATGCTTCTTGTTGTGTAAAGCACATACACCACACATTGTCCATATGAGAAGGTGGCTTTGAAGCCACTGTCAGTCGCCATGAGCTCAGCTCACTCAGATAAGTTGTGACTGGTAATTTGGGCCTACATATGAGAATAGGCATGTTTGGTAAGTGTGCACCATATAAAAAAAATCCTGCAGCACTCGGTGCATAATGAGAAAAAACTGACCTTGTTTTTTTGTGTAAAACAGTAACTTTGTGGTGTATTTTCATATGGTTTTTATGGCTGTATTCTCATTTTTTTTTTTTTGTCTCGTGCGATAGAACGGAAGATATGTTACAGTAACAGATATGATTTTGATTGGTTTCACAATGGAAAGCACCTTGAAATTGAGCTCAGAGTAGCGGAAATGTTCTATTTTTTGTCGATGTTCAAGAGTAAACAAATGATGTCACTGTCCAATATGTCTCCAACTGGTCGGTCCGATACGCAGTCACAAATGGGTTGACATTATTTATACAATTATTAAAGTACTGCTGCAGTCTGCATAACAGTAAACCTATTTTTTGTGTGAATAAAAATTTGGAATGGAAAACAAGCATAATATAAGAGGGACGTAAATATCACCATTGGATTACACGTATCCTAACCTAACCACTCTGTAATCCGGCAAATTCCTAATCTGGCACCCTACAGGTCCCGATGATGCTGGATTAGTAATGACCAACCTATATAAACTATTAAGTACATATTACCTAGGTAGTAGGTTGGTAGACAGCAGCCAACCAGGGAAGTACTACTGCTCTGCCAAGTGAGAAATGGAAACCTGTAATTGTTTCACATGATGGCAGGATTGCTGGTGTTTTTTCTGTCTCAAGCATGCAGAATAACAGGTACATCTTGCTATGTCTACTTACACTAATGTCACACTACATATGCATATGCGCATGCGCACGCACACACACACACGTGCACATCCACACATACATACACATGCGTGCACATCCACACACACACACACACACACACACACACACACACATCCACCCACCTACCTATCTCCCACTCCTTCCACTGATCTCCAGTGCTCTCTCTCTCACTCTCCTCCTCCCTCTCCTCTCCCTCTTTCCCCCACTCCCTCTCCTCCCTCTTTCCCCCCACTCCCTCTCCCATTCTCTTCCCCTTGCTTCTCCCTTCTCTCTCCCCATATTCCCCCCTCACTCCCCCTCCCTCTCTCTCATTTCGCCACTGTCTCCAGCTTCCTCCTCTCCCTCCCTCCGCCCCCCCCCCACACACTCGGACAAACACCAGAAAACACACAAAATTATATAGTGGCAACTAAAAAAAACAAAAAAATTGGGTTGCCAGAGAGCAGGAAGGAAAACCAGGGGACAGGAGGATGAGTCTGCGAAGGAAGATTGGGCAGCAGAGCTCATGAAAAGGGAACATGAGTGGGGAAAGAAGCTAGAAGAGCTTAGCATGAGAATGGAGGAGAGGATAGACGCAGGAAGCAAGAAGTGGCAGATGCGAGTCACAGCAGCAGAGGCTAAGATACAGAGATTAGAAGAGGAACTGAAAAATCTGAAACAGCCTAAAGAACTAAAGTACAATTTGGGAATGACATCAGAGACAAGGGGACTGTAGGGAACGAAGGAATGAAACTGTATGCAGAGGCCTTATCAGACCATCATGGAGCCCGAGAAAGAGGGGGAATCACAAGAGCAATCAAGGGGGCTGTAGAAAATGAAAGAGCTAAGCTATATGTGGAGGCCCTAACAGACCACAGCAGAGCCCAGGGAAAGCTGAGAAGGGAAAAACAACAGGCCACTGGGCCCAAGGACAACTGATAGTGAAGAAACTGAAGAAAGGAAAGGTGCAATGGAAGCAAATAAATCGAGTCAGGGGATACATAGGGATATGCAGTAGGAGAATGAAAGGGAGAGGTCAGTCAGTATTTATGGGCTCCAGGAAGGGGAAACTTACGAAGCAAGAAGACATGGGGAGAAAAAAGTGATCAAAAGCATCATAAAAGCAATAGAAGATAACATGACCCAGCTGGCAAATTTTCGGAGAATAGGGGGGTCTGCAAGAAGAACCCGGCCAGTCAAAGTGACTTTCAAGGCAGAATCGACTCGAAACAGGATCCTGCAGGAGAAAGCAAGACTAAGGGACAAGCCGGCATACCAGAAGGTGCATCTCGACCACGACCGAGCATGAGAAGAGGCGCAGAAACTGAAAGAGATGGTACAAAGGCGAAAGGAGGAAAGACAGGTGAAGATGGAGATGGACAGGAGAACCCAGACTCAGGAGGAAGATCAAATACAGCCTCCCTCACAACCACCTACAGAAGCCCCCAACCAGAACAATCCCAATATGATCAAACATTCTAACCCAAAACACACAGGCCATATCCAATGCCCCCACCCACCTCATTACAAACTCCACCCTTACAGCAACCACCCATAGTTCCTTAGTAGGTCTCCCACTTCCCCAACCCCAACATACCCCCCAGACCACAGTTTTAGTAAAGAAGTTGAAGGTTTGGTATATAAATGCAGATGGAAAAACAAATAAGTGAGGAGTGGCATGAAAGAATCAAGGAGACATCCCCAGACATAATACCACTCACAGAAATGAAACTCGCCAGGATCATAACAGATGCAATCTTCCCACCCGGATATCAAATCCTCAGGAAAGATGGAGGGAGGAGAGGGGGAGGAGTTGTTGCACTGCTAATTAAAAACTGGTGGGGATTTGAGGAAATGGAAGGAATGGATGGAATGTGCAAAAGGTACTACTTAGAAGGAACAATCCAGTCTGAGGGCCATAAGGTGGTAATTACAGTAATGTAAAACCCACCACAGAACTGCAGGAACCCAAGAGAAGAATACAATGAGAGCAAAAAACCAATGGTTGACACACTAGCCAAGGTGGCCAGAAGAGCTCACATGTTGGGAGCAAAGTTACTAATTATGGGTGATTTCAATCACAAGGAGATTGACTGGGAAAACCTGGAGCCCCATGGGGGTCCTGAAACATGGAGAGCCAAGATGATGGATGTGGTACTGGAAAACCTCATGCATCAACATGTTAAGGACACTACCAGAGAGAGAGGGGAAGATGGACAAGCAAGACTGGACCTCGTGTTCACCCTGAGCAGTTCAGACATTGAGGACATCACATATGAGAGGCCCCTTGGAGCTAGTGATCATGTGGTTCTGT